GGCGTTTTCTGCCAAGAAGAGACGAGTAAAGAGCAAAGTGCAAAGGCAGCCCGGAGGGCGAGCACCCCCGTCTCTAAACCGGCCTCCTGCTACTGCACCCCGCTCCTCCACGCCTGGCTCCCTGCCGTGCTGCTGCTTGCCCAGCTGTGCTAGATGAGGCGGCCATGTCACCAGGATGCCTCACCTTAGCCAGGGAAGGGAGCCGACCTGTCCTCGCCTGCCAGCCTGGGGACAGACCCCGGGTACCCCAGCCCCCGGTACCCTGACCCTTCTTCTTCGTGTTTATCACTCCAAAATACAACAGGTCTGAGAGAGTCTTTGACAGAACAGGCCAATTCTCAGCCTGGGCTTGTGCTGCCTCTTTCTTAATCAAGCACAAGTGAACCATATAAAGACAAGAACCACATAAGAGGAGTGTGGCTCAGCTGCCTGTTGTGGTCACAGGCACTCCAGCTCATGAAGTCATGTATTGGGATTTTAGCGGTTGTTTTCCACCTGTTGGCCAGCTTTCAGGTCCCATTTCTCCCCTTCTCTGCATTGATCTGTGGGCAAAGCAGAAACCGAACCCCTGTTCGCCCCCTCTGGAGCACTGTGAGGTTTCGTTAAGCTCTTTGAAGACACAAAGTGCTTCCGCAGCGGCAGCATTACTGACTGGTGAGTTTTCCCTTCCCCTTACCAAGATCCCAGATGTATGAGTCAAAGCTCAGGTCTTTCATGTTTTGCTGGAATTCCAGGCTGGAATAAGCCACTGCCAGTTTCTTGCATGTGTCGGGGTGCCAGGAGAGATGCGTGGCCGTCCTCTTGGTTACATTTGGATCTCTTTTTGATAACACGACATCAAAGAAAGATGTTAGTTTGCTAACAGCTTTGTCACGCCCTGGGATGACTCTCTCCCAAAGGAAACTGGGGGAATCACAATTAAAACAAGGTGCAGCCCTTGAGCATTAAGTGCAGGAAATGATTCTCTGGGGGGTTGGGCAGGGGGAGAAGAGTTGATGATTTAATGAACTCTTTCCAGTTATACGTTTCTAAGAATCCAATTAAGTTACTGGATCTGACTTCTAGAAATGACCTACCAGCCCCTGACATTTGAAAATAATCTTTGAGGCACAAAAAAAAAAAAATCATGTCTAAAGCACTGTTAGAAGATGCTCAGAGCTGCATCTGTCCTCGGACCGCGGTACCTATCTCCAAAGTGCCTGGGCAGGGCGGAGGGCAGGGAGAGGAGGAACAGAGGGAGTTATGGAGCAGCGGGGCTGCAGCAGGTCTCTCCATCCATAAACTGATCCAGCACTACCCTAAAGCCGCTGGGTTTTCCACCTCCTTTGCATCCAAAGGCAGTTTAATAGGCAGTAGCCTGCTGCAGATCTGGAGAGCCTGGAGAGCCCAGCTGGTTGTGCTACCTGATGACATTGATGGTTTTTGCGGAGGGGGGCTCGTCTTCCACCTCTGCCATCTCCTCCTCTCCGAAGTATTCCTCGTAGATGTTGATGGCGTTGTTCTGCTTGACGCAGTGCTCCATCAGCTGCAGGGAAAGCACAGGCAGAGGCCGTGCCCCTGGGGAGCTGCCCCAGCGAGGGAACTGGCAGCAAGGGGGCTCTGGGAGCGGGAGGCAAGGAGCGGGGGCAGGCAGGGCCTCACGGTGCCGAGGTGCGTGATGGTGTTGATGTAGTTTTCATCTTTCTCCACTTTCTTCCTGAAGCGGATGGTTTGTTCCACCTCCTGCGGGTTGATGTCTTTGGGCCAGCCGCCCTCTACATGGTTAACACCGCGGGATTCCACCTCCACCCGCTCGGTGTTGACCTGGGGGGGCGGCACGGAGAAAGCAGAGCAAGAGATCGAGCTGAATGGGTATAAAACACAACTTTTCCCCTTCGTACAGCGCTGCCCTGCACAGCGGCGGCCTGGGAGGCCCTCGACGGCTGGTGGGCAGCCCTCACCTCGTGCTCTGACATGTCGCTGGTGTGTTGGACGTAGCTGTCTACGGGGTTCCTCAGGATGAAGCCGCTGGCCATGCTGGGGTCGGGGGGGATGTCCACGTTGACCTTGGCCGGCCGGTCGGAGAAGTTGCAGGGCCGGCCGAACTCGCTGCGCTTCCGCGTGTACACGTAGATGATCTCCATGGCGG